GCCCTCTGATGTGCTTGTTTGTTGTGCCGGTGTTTTGGCTGCGTTCTGGAAAGTCGAGCCAGTTTCCGAGCTCGCCTTCACCGTTCCCGGAGCCTGTTCGCCGTCATCCTGCGTTACCTGTGACGCAGGCGAGGACTCGGACGACAACTTCGTGTCGGCCGCCTTCTTTGGTGTCTCCTGTTTCGTTGAGGATTCCGATGAGGAACTGCCGCTACTGGAGGCAGAGGAACTCGTCTTCGTCTTTGACGATGGTGTAGTTTCCTTAGAAGGGGTAGCTGTGGTCGCCTCTGGTGTTGACGACGTCGAGTTGCTTGACTGTGTCGTCGGAGGAATGGACCCGTTGGCGATATCTCGTGCAGTATTCAGTAGAATAGTTTGGATATCCGTCACAAAAGCCGGGTATACCTGGTACGTATATTTGCCATCAGGAATCGGAGCGATCGGACTGTTGGCATCGTTGCCCTCGTCGATACAGAGACCACCGGACGCAGTTGTTCCATCCGGGCATTCAGAACCTTGGGACGCGTGGTTGTACCAAGGAGACTTCCCGTCGTTACCTGGAGGGGAGTACTCACACACCACCAACTCTCCTCCTGAACAGGTCGCTGTCGCACAACCGACACTAGTGGTTTCCGCCCAGAGTATCTGTGAGTACGAGTTGTAGTAGCCTACGCCCACGTCCAACCCGCTGGAACCGGGCTGTGCCATGGTCTTGATGGTCGTCACGCCAGTTTCCACGACCCACTGTTGAATCGCCTCATCAATGGCCGACGACGCGTTGGTTAATGATGTCTGGAACGCGTTGATACCTTTTCCACAAGTGGCCGAGCACTTCGATGCAGTCGAAGCAGCTTTGGTGGCCAGGTCAGCATCCCAATCAATGCGACGCATGTTGCCGGCAGACCATGGCAAACCCGTTCTGCGAAAGTAGTTGTGACGATCGATCCAGATGGCTTGATCCGGTTCACTGTAGCTTTCGGCATTAGCGACCAAAACTGTTGCAGCCGAGACAGCAAGTATTGTTGATACCTTCATTCTATCCGGCAATTTATTGAGACTTTTGCTATGGACTTCTCGGTGCGACCTACGGCACGGACTGGGCCGAGCACGATAAAACGGAAAGTGAAGCTTTCGGGGCGTCGCGACGGACTGTCCACATGCCCTACACTTCCTCGTGTGTTTTCCCGTCCGTTTTTAGGCACCTCAAATCTCTCGACATTGCCCGGCGCCAAACCGAATCAACGAATCTACTGCCAAAGTGTTTGGTTCCAAAGCGCGTTACGGTGGTACAGTGCGTAGTGCTCCAACGCTTTTGCAATGCCTGACCCTGCCTCGCGTTCGAAGATACGATCGATCCACAGCGTGATGCCCAAGCTGGGATGCTTTCAAACTGTATTCTGCCCGTTTGATTCGTTCAAGCGTTCTTCTCAAAGGAAGTATCCGGTAAAGGTTGCTCGAACGCAAAAAGTGTATGCCAAAGTAATTGATATCATTTGCTGTTCTTGCCAGCAAGTGAATGCTGTACGGTAGCTTAGCCCGACTTTACAGCACAGGCACTTGAAATGCAAGTACACTGTTCCAAGTTTTCATTTTTCGTTTTACATGGCTTCAACATGTCCCTGCCGATGTTATTTTTTTTAACAATACATGCAGCTTGGTTCGAGCTCTTCGGTCGTGCAACCAACCTACAAGCTTGCCGTAAAAGAGAACGTCGATTGAGTGTTTCTTGAGGTTTGCACTCTTAGAAAGCAGTACTCAATCGGTAGCGAGCGTATCGCAGCTTCGAGTTCTTTCAGTCTGTCCAAGTCAAGGGCTTCGTTGCAGCTGTAGCAGGGCTCATCATATATTAGTAGTACTGTAGTAGGGCCGATATCGCAACGTTAGGATGCACGAGAAACTGCGCTTGC